TAGTCCAACAACATAGAGGCCCATGACTTTGAACCATGAAGCCATACGCTGATGTTTTAGGCAAGTGCGGTTTGTCAATCTTATGAAAAAAGTTTGCCAATCATGTTCATTGGTCCTTAACATACCGAGCAGTGTGTTCGATGAACAAGGAGACTGAAAGTAAACATTTATGTAGAGCTTCGAAATATCTTTGTACATATGATTTAAACATACTAAAATGCCAAATTCTTCACTATGCTTCTTGTATTGTTCTGTCAAAAATTGTTTCTGTACTCATTTCTTTTCTCCTTTATCTTCTAGCCACTTCGAAGCTCAGCCAAATAGCTATGCCTACATCAAGTACAAGGGACGTTGCTTCCTCATGTTCCGGTGTGCTTAAAACATCCCAAACTTTTTCATAACAGCTTTTTTATCCGATTGTATCAAATTATCTTTTGAAAATACCATATTTATCCAACACACTGCCTACAAGTTTTCTTTGACCAGTAATCGAAGCTGGGCGGCCGCTTCAGGACGTTAAATCAGGTGTGGTTCTTTGTTTAGTTGTGGTCGGAGACCTTCAGTCCATTGAAGTAGAACAGTCGCCTGCTAAAGTGGATCTAAACTGCACAGCCATTTGAAATAAGTTTACACAATGGCAGCATAGGTACTAGCCAAAGAACATTATACGTTTTTCGTCGATATACTGCCGCTGCATAGCAAACTTCTGAAACAGAATAGGCACATATTTAAGAAATTTGAAAGTTACTGTGAGTGCGATAGCCTGTGACACCGTGCAAGTGTTCTTATAATTGGCCAAAGATGAAGGACAAACGTGAGATATTGGCATACAAATTAAGGAGTAAACTGTGGCGTTTACTGAACACTGTAACTTATGGAGAGTTTTCAATATCATAAAACTGAAGTATCGAGAAACCACGTTTGTAGCAACTGGTTTCGGTCATAACACTGTCTTCTCTTGAAAGCGGACTAAAAAGTGCTCTCTTGTATGCAGTTAGAGATATGAGCAAGGCAGCACAACATTATTCTAAAGTCAGTTCATTCACACATATAGCTGAAATGCTTGCACCGATGGGAGTGAACTGAAATACTTACTCCATCGAAGTGGAACAC